ACTCTGGCCTATCTCCAAATTACAATTTGGAGTGGTTAGGAAATTGAAGCAGGGAAAATGCATATAGGTCTGTTTATTATTTTGTCTAGATCTGTATATTTCTCATGCTAAGTAATTAGTAATGGTGCTCTAGAATTCTGCGCAAAATCTGTGTTTTCTTTTTGCTACTGTGTAGCCCTGAGGAAGTAAACTGCAACCCAGAAAGCTTAGGTCTTCAGTGGGATTCTGAGGAATGTACAATAGCTTTTAGGGAGGGTTCGGGGAGACGGTACTTGTTTCAGGCCCTAGATATTGTACCATGGGGTACCCACTGCCAAGAGATGTCAGACACGAAGTCTGCACCTGGGTGCTTCCTAGAGGTCCAAAGCCAGGGACAGTACCTAAACTCTGCCCATCCTCCAGTAAGCTAAGGGCATGTGGGATTCAGCTTTTGGGTCCCCTCACAGCAGTTTGGAATCTGTTACAGTAGTATGCTGTCTACTGTACTTTTTACAGTACAGTTACTGTGCATTTTCAATGAGCTTTCTGGCATACAAAGTATTATACAGTGCTATAAAATGGTACATGTCTGTGTGATAGGATGTAGAAAAATTGTATGATTCTGTATTTGAGAAACAGTTTGAATATCAAACTTTAGTGTATAACATATTCCCAAGACAGCTGAGTTAAGGTGGTTGGTGCATATAACCTTAACATTGTCATTTCTTGAATTTTGAGTGCTGAAATGTGCAAGCATAATGACATCTTGGTATGGTATTCTAAAGGCTTTAAGAGTGAAGAAGACAACAAAAAGGATCTTAATTTTCTAGAGCTTTGAAACTCTGCTGGGTTGCACGAAAAAACAGCCCGCCCCCCCCAAAAAAAATTGGCAACAGCACTTACAAATTCCATAATCTGAAACTTTTCAAACGAATATCACAAGAGTGGTTTGCACATATGCCTAAAATGCTGTACAGGAAGGAGTCTCTCTTTTGCAAACCTTTGGAGTTGTGGAACTCATAGTCCATTGCAAACCTCAGTAAAGTGAAGCAACCATGTATAATGCCTCAGTACCTTCACCACAGGGACTGAGCTCATGTCTCAAGCTCATGCACACTTCAAGTAAACTTTTTTGATTATACAATCAGATTAGCCAAGCATGGGTAGCATAGCCTTCAGTAGCTACACTGTTTATGGGCTTAGTGAAAAATGATGTACATAAGTACATTTTGTACATGTGATTTTTAAAAAGTCATAACTTGATCAAATAAATAAACATCACTGGAACACTCAATTCCCAAAGAAACCTATTTCTGTGCCAAACTTCAACTGTCTACTCCAAGCCATTTCAACTAGATAGCTTTTTAAAAAGCAAAAAGTACTCAAGTTCCACTTGTACTAAAAAAAACAAAAAATAGGTTGGACTATATTTGCTCAAACACTTAAAAATAACCTATCAAGTAGAAACTGAGCCTGGAAAATAGCTTGGAAAGTGAAAATTTCAGAAAGTTATGAGCAACTAAAAACAAGATTAGAATGGAAGCAGTCAGACAGACTTATCTATAATGGTGGCTGCTATATCTGCTTTAATAGAGAGCAAATAATATTGTTTTTGTCTGCTCTCTCTCTCTTCCCCCGCTCTCCCCCCGGAATGCATTAGGTGAGAGGCAAAGTAGAATCTTGCAGTGTTGCACTAGTCAACAGCAAAAATAAGAAACATTTTGCTATAGAATCTACATTAAATTTAGAACTCTAAAGAGTAATATATTAAAAATTTCTCTATTGCTTTCTTACGCGTTTCACCTTTTTTTTTTTTGCCCTCTGCTTTATCTTAAAATATGGATGTCCATTTTAAAGTGAAACTATAGGAAAAAAATCAAGATTCTGGTTCTGCAATTCGATCCATGCAGGTGGATCTAAGTGCCTACACAGAGCTGAATTGACTGACTTGAGTGGGGTTCTCAGGATATGACTTCACTGCAGAGCTTAACCTATGCTCTTACCAGAGGTTTAAGCCCAACCCCCCCTACCATCCACGCTCACAAACCTTTTGCCCGGGTTTATATATGCTTTGAACCCGGGCATGTTTCCTGTCTTGAGGTATAAATTAGTCCGGATTTTGCTTTAAAGCAGGCTGTAACCAGGCAGAGATTTTGGCCTCAGATATTTCTTTTGTACCACCAGAGGGCATGGGACTACACTTATTTTTCTCCACAGTACTCCGTCATATACATATCAATTTTCTGTTTATTTTGGAATCATAACCTTTACAGATATCTAGGATATTGTTTTGGTGGGGTAGGCCTGTATCCCTGTTTGGTTAACCAATCTGTAATATATGGAAGGATGGGAATTTAGTCATCGTCATGATACCTTTTGTAAACATGATAAAACAAGTGGAATATTGGCAGGACAACAGCCATGTTATATGTTTGTGAAGCAGTGAGTAGAAACAAAGTATTCTGCTAAGAAAGTTACATTTTAAAATTTAGTATTTAGAGAAGGTTAACTTAAACAGGCTGAATGAACACAGATTCTATTTCAAAAGAAATTATGTAGTCGAAAAAAATGAAGAGGCAAACTGGAAAAGCTTATAAAATCATGAAACAAGTCTTCCATATGATTGCAAAGAACTTCTATTGTAAGGTTTAAAAGTAATAGAAATGCCTATATAGGGTAGTCAAAAAGGCCATTTTGTCTTATCTGGATGAGGGATGGTCCTCATGGTACAAACTCATTCAAAGTAAACACTCTTCAGGGAATTACACAAAAGACTCTACGCCTCAGAATTTAAACAAGAAGCCTATGGCTTAGTGCAATAGTTGGAAAAAATTTAAGAGTTTGTCTACACTGGCACTTTCGCCGTTAAAACTTTTGTCACTCGGGGTGTGAAAAAATGCACCCCTTGTTGACAGATGTTTTAATGACGAAAAGCGCTAGTGTGGATAGCTGTGCTCCTGGTGATGAAGCTACTGCCCCTCATTGGAGGTGGTTTTATTTTGTCACCAGGAGAGCTCTCTCCCAGCGGTAAAGAGCGGCTGCACAGCGCACCTTACAATGGTGTGGCTGCAGCAGCATAGCCGTACTCTTGTAAGGTGTACAATGTAGACATAGCCTAAGTCTCTTCAGATTGAAGTATAGATCTCTGCACTGTTTTTACATGTTAAGGAGACAATTTGGGCCTTCAAAGGAATGTGCAAGAGCATGTTTCAGGTGAATGGTGAGAAAAAACATTCGGTTTGGAGTTCTGTCACTGATTTTTGAGGATTATCTGTCCTTTCTGCCACTGAAGGCCCTGATCCTGTTTATAGGACATTGAGGCTTCATCACTCATCTTAAAAATGAATGCTTGTTTGTATTCAAGTAAGAATCCCTTTGACGATGTCTGTTAGCAGTTGTATTATAAAATAGAAACAGCAAGGTACCAGCAAAAATTTGAGTGTTAAATCATAAACTCTGCTAAAACAGGCAGATCACTAAAAGGATTCATTAAAGGGCAGTTGCTCTGTGACAGTATTAGTTATGTGTTGAACATAATGAACAAAGTTTAGGCAGAAATCTTGACCTGTAATATTCTTTTTTTTGATGTGGAGAAAGAGATTTTTTTTTGTGGGGGGGGGGTCAAAAATGACTCATGAATTCTATACTTTTGGGATAGGTCAAGGCTTTATTTAAGAATTTGTTTAAAGTCCCTCTGTCCCTCAACCTTTCTTATTGATGGTGGAACCTGTGGACCCAAAATACTAGGGTGGAGATAAAACTTGGGGGGGGGGTTATTAGTGAGCAGAAATATCCACATGTCAAAAACCCAAATGATGCCATCTAGCCTCTTGTGATTTGTATAAAACATCTTTTTCAAAAATTATTGGAGCTTGTAAATGTACTGCCTACTCACTAGCTGGAACTGATTTGAGATTAAGGGAAGGGGCAGAGTGGTCTAAGGGTTAGAACCCTGGTAGGAAGCACAGCACCTTTTGCTTCAACTTCCACCGTCCAGTCTAAGATTATTGGCTGATAGGTATGGATAAATGTATTGTTGTCCTTCTGTTTTGCCTGGTTTCCACTCACCCCTGTCTTCCTGGAGGAAGAGTCAGCTTCTTTGCCTTATATTGCCTTTATGTCCAGAGCTAGCTCTGTTGGTCACTGCAGAATTGGGTATAACCCTATGACTGAAGACCCCATCAGGTTGAGAGAGCTTTCATGGCTGCTGCCAAATAGAAATAACTTGTTTAATTTCAGGTTTAATTTGTATAACTGTAGGATTATCCTACTGCTCGTACTCAATCTAAGTAAAAGGATTAGCTAGTATGGATCGGGCAATTTATATTTTCCCCCCTATTATGTACCATTTCTGTTCTTTCTCATACCTCTGCTGTTTATTTTTTTTTAAACAGTGAAATCAGGTACCAGTTTTTATGTAGCTATATCTTTAAAATTGAAAGGTAATAAAAACTATGAAATGTCACATTGGAAAAACCATCTGCACATATAGGAAAAATACAACTTTATGCCTTGTTTTCAAGCCCATTTCAGAATTCACCTAACTCTGTAATAAAAACAGATTTTTCTTCAGATAAAGACATGCTAGTAGTATATGCAAAGGCCAGGTTTTTGGAAAATTTTGATAGGCATGAAGGAAAGTTTTAAATTTGAAATTCCTGACTAACTTGTAATTATCTGCCATGATTAATCTGGTATTTGAAACCCAATGTAGCTATTTTGTCGTTGTTGAATATCCTTTATATTGTTGGTTAAACATTGAAGCATGAGTTCAAGTTTATAGCAAAGTATAAGACATGTTTTGTTGCTTTGTTTTTCTTTCAGGTGCTGAAGTTTCCATGTAGCAATAAAGATGGTTAGGAGCCCTTTTCCATAATTAATTCTGTTTCTATAAGTGAACACAAAATAATGGTGTATTCAATAAAATGTTTGTCAGGAAATACCACTTGGAATTCCAAATATTTAGATTTGCAAGGAGATGATCTGAGGATTAATAGAAATTTAAATTTCTTTTAATACAGGGCCAGCTTTCAATATTACAAGAGAAAATAGACCACTTAGAACGTTTGTTGGCGGAAAATAATGAGATTATTTCCAACATAAGAGATTCTGTGATCAATCTGAGTGAATCTGTGAAGGATGGTCAAAGAAACCCAGAGGCCATAAATTTCAGTCAAGGATCTTTTTCGGAGCTTCTGCCATCTGCTCTAGTATCCCTCACAATTGATCCTGAGGATTGCTCATTTGCTTCAAAAAGTGGAAGTCAAGATTCAAATGTACAGGTAAGAAGCATGTAAATAAATATTAACACTCCTACTAACAAGAAATCTAACCCTGATATACCACCTGGCACTGCAGAGCACTACTACTGTGTCACAAAATCTACCACTTAGGTGTTTAAATTCTGATAATTTATTATCAAACATTAATACAGATTATAGAGGTCTGCTTGGGCCTATTTTTAAAGCCTGACTCAAGCACAGCCAACCTGATTCGAGCGTGTCAAGTCAATTTCAGACCTGACTGAAATCTGACACTTCCCCCTGAACCTGTCAACGCTGCCACTGCCTCTTGGTCGTCAGGCTTGCCCTGGTGGGACTTTCCACTCCCCACGCCCATGATCCATCTCTGGATGTCTCCTGATGGTGGGGTTGGTGTGGTGGTAGCAGTGTGCCCTGCTCCAGATGGCCCTTGCTGCGCTGTGTGCTATGAAATGAGAGGTGCTGTGACTTATGAGTTGGTGCTGGCAGGAGTGAGGCAAGCAGCACCAAACATGCAGGCAGCAGGAGATTATCAGAGATGACCTGAGCCCAAGAGGGTTAGGTTGTTTTTAGATGACCTGACCCAAACCTCATACTTGTGGTCAAGTCCTGTCAGGTTAGGTTGGGTTGCAAGACTCTAACAGATTATACTTGGGAAATATAGTAGTCTCGCCATAGTTACAGGTGTGTGTTGGGTTGGTTGATTTTTGAGACTCCTTCCATCCTACTCTCAAACTTTTCTGAAATTGAACCACTTGAATGGAAATATGGAAACTTCTCCTGTATGCTGCTTTTAGAGATGAGTGGCAGAAGTGATAATTTATTTTTGAGGGAAGACAATGCATGTGTAAGAGATGGAATTTTGAATGCGAGAAAAAAATCTTGGGTACTGTTTCCTTTTTTGAGAACTGTTTTCTGTTTTTTGGAATATTCATGTCTCAAAAATTGGCCTAGAAACTTGGGCTTGACTTTTGAAAAGTGATTTAATGCTTGTTCAATGTATTTTAATGTGGACTCTGGGTGTTCGTCATCTTTTAAAGTTGTATTCTACAAGTTAAGTTTATTTTACAGTTATCAGTGAGGAATGGGGTCTTTAACTATTTTTTTTTTAATTGTGTGGTTACTTTTAAAGAGCAGGGGAACCTCAGAGTTGTACTTTGTATTATTTAATTCTGAACTCTGTGTTATTTTGGACGTCTGGTGTGGCTATAGATCCTGTATGCAAAGATTAAATTTTGTGAAGTCTGGATCACAAAGAAGCATGTAGAAGTCAAAGTCTCTGAACAGCAACAATGTCCAGGAAACAGTTGACTCTGGATAATTAAATGTAGGCATAACAACATCTGTAAAATCTGCTTCACCTATTACAATACTTATAAGCCTCTCAGGGATCCTGATAGTAGTTCATATTATATTAATGCTTCACGTAGAGAGAGAGAGAGAGAGAGAGATTCATCTTTTAAAATCAGTAATGTACACAAATGTCAGTCATCTTTCTATAATGCATTCTAAGGTTATCAGATAAAAAACTAGTAATAATGTTATAAATACACATCAACACTGGTAGCAGAGGGTGGGAGAAAAAGTTTTAAGAGCACTGCAGTTTTAGAAAAGGTGTCAAAGCTGGAAACATTAATAGAATTTCAAGGCCAGAAACAATCATAATGATAATTGTTAGTCAGCTCAACTACACTTGCAGTTCCACTCTGGGCAATCACTTTTAGGCTTCTGGCTCCCACACCTCTATTGGGCAGAGACCCGCATCTCTCTGGGTATGTCTACACTACGGGATTACTCCGAATTTACAGAATTCGATTTTTGGCAACCGATTGTATAAAGTTGAGTGCATGCGGCCACACTAAACACATTAATTCGGTGCTGTGTGTCCATGTACCGAGGCTAGCGTCTACTTCCGGAGCGTTACACCGTGGGTAGCTATCCCATAGTTCCCGCAGTCTCCCCCGCCCATTGGAATTCTGGGTTGAGATCCCAATGCCTGATGGAGCCAAAAGTTTGTTGCGGGTGGTTATGGGTAAATGTTGTCAGTCAATCCTCCCTTCGTGAAAGCAACGGCAGACAATCATTTCGTGTCCTTTTCCCTGGATTGCCCGGGCAGATGCCATAGCATGGCAACCATGGAGCCTGTTCAGCCTTTTTTCACTGTCACCGTATGTCTACTGGATGCTGCTGACAGACGCGGTACTGCAGTGCTACACAGCAGCATCCCTTGCCTTTGCAAGTTAGCAAAGACGGTTACCAGCCATACTATACCGTCTGCTGCTTTGCAAGTTGGCAAAGATGGTTACCAGTCATACTGTACTGTCTGCTGCTGTCATGGGTGTTCCTGGCCGGCCTCGGTGAGGTTGGTTGGGGGCGCCTGGACAAAAAAGGGAATGACTCCCCGGGTCATTCTCTTCTTTAAGTTTTGTCTAATGGAGAGTCAGTCCTGCCTAGAATATCAGGCAAACGGCTGCTCCGGGTCCGAGCCTCAGACATCCTGCAGAAATGATGAGCTGCATGCCATTCTAGGGGGTGCCCCTACAACAACCCCACCCATTGCTTCCCTCCTCCCCCACCCCTCCCGGGCTACCTTGGCAGTTATCCCCCCATTTGTGTGATGAAGTAATAAAGAATGCATTAATTTGAAACAAAACTGACTTTATTGCCTCTGCAAGTGGAGATCAAAGGGGGAAGGGGATGGCGGTTGGCTTACAGCAAAGTTGAGTGAACTACCATTCTGCACTTGCTCAGCCTATAGCTGAAAATGGGAATCTGTGATAAGCACTAGGATAGAAGCACAGGCAGGACTGAATCTCCATTTGTATGTGGGCCTTTGGTTGACACTGCTAAAATAAAAATGTCCCAGGATATGTATGTTGGGGGACAGTTCTAAATGGCAGCTTTATTTTTTTTATTTGCAGCAAAATGTAGAGGTCTGTGTTTGATTGTGAGCCCTGGGAGCAAGGGGTAGGCTGGGGTAGGTGCGACCGCACTGTGCTGCTGACTGGGAGAGCAGCCTGAGGCAGAAGCCTTCAGCTGGCATGATATTCCAGGCAGGACTGAATCTCCATTACACAAAACTTAAAGAAGAGAATGACCTGGAGTCATTCCCTTTTTTGTCCAGGCGCCCCAGACCAACCTCACCAAGGCCAGCCAGGAGCACCCATGTCTGCCCAGGCGCCCCCAACCGACCTCACCGAGGCCAGCCATGAGCATCCACGGGACAACGATGACGGTTACCAGTCATACTGCACCGTCTGCTGTCCGCAAGGCAAGGCAAGGGGATGCTGCTGTGTAGCGCTGCAGCACCGTGTCTGCCAGCAGCATCCAGTAGACATACGGTGACAGTGTAAAAAGGCGAGAAACGATTTTTTCCCCCTGTGCTTTCACAGAGGGAGGGAGGGCGGGGAGCCTGACGACATATACCCTGAACCACCCGTGACAATGTTTTTGACCCTTTAGGCATTGGGAGCTCAACCCAGAATTCAAATGGTTTTCGGAGAGTGCGGGAACTGTGGGATAGCTACAGTCGTCAGTCACCCCTCCTTCTGTGAGCATCCATTTGATTCTTTGGCTTTCTGGTACGCTTGTCTCAGCTCCTTAAGTTTCACACAGCACTGTGTTGAGTCCCTGTTGTGGCCTCTGTCCATTATGGCCTTAGAGATTTTTTTCCAAATGTTTTGGCATTTCATCTTTTGGAACGGAGTTCTGATAGAACAGATTCATCTCCCCATACAGAGATCAGATTCAGTGTCTCCCATACGGTCCATGCTGGAGCTCTTTTTTGATTCTGGCTGTGCTGATGAGCTCTGCATGGTCACCTGTGCTGATCAGCGCTCCTCGCTGGGCAAACAGGAAATGAAATTCAGAAGTTCGCGGGGCTTTTCCTGTCTACCTGGCCAGTGCATCAGAGTTCAGATTGCTGTCCAGAGCGGTCACAATGGTGCAATGTGGGATAGCTCCCGGAGGCCAATACCGTCTAATTGCGGCCACACTAACCCAATTCGAAATGGCAATGTCGATTTCGGTGTTACTCCCCTTGTCGGGGAGGAGTACAGAAATCGATTTTAAGAGCCCTTTATGTCGAAGTAAATGGCTTCGTTGTGTGGATGAGTGCAGGGTTAATTCGATTTAACGCTGCTAAATTCAAACTAAACTCATAGTGTAGATACGGCCTCTTCTACCTCAGAACCAAGGTTTTTCCAGGCTGCACAGTTCTCTTCCTATACTGTCTGTGGTGTTCACCAGCAGACCAGACAGCCTCTGAGGAGAAAGCAAAGTGCAGGAGCAGGCCTGTTTAGGCAATGCTCTTTTATGATTGGCAACAGTTGTAAGCTGCCACACAGCTCTTTATAAGCAGGAACATTCTTCTTAAGGTGAAAGCATTACAGAGAAAACATACCAAAAACAATAAAAGCCCCTCCAAGCATGCAGATAAGCTTCCCAGAGATCACCCTTCCTCCCCAACTCCAGCAGGGGCTTTTGCAGGAGTCAGTCCTTCAAACCCTACCAAGGGGGTTTTCTATAGGGTTGCCACGTTGCCAGTTTTTGACCAGAATGCCTGATCGAAAAGGGACCCTGGTGGCTCTGGTTAGCACAGCTGACCGGGCCACTAAAAGTCCATGTAGCTGTAGAGGCCAACTCTGTGTGGCTCTTGGAAGCAGCTGGCATGTCCTTCAGGCTCCTAGGCACAGGGGCAGCTGGGGGGCTCCGTGTGCTGCCTCCGCTCGCGGCGCGGGTGCCACCCCGAGCACCAGCCCTGCAGCTCCCATTGGCCGGGAACTGCAGCCAACGGGAGCTGCAGGGATGGTGCCTGCGGAGTTCCTGGCTATCTCTGCGCCGAGGAGCTGGAGGTACATGCCAGCCGCTTCCAGGAGCCGCCTGAAGTAAGTGCCGCCTGGAGCCTGCCCCGCTTCCTGCACCCCAACCCTCAGCCCTGAGCCCCCTCCCACATCCAAACTCCCTCCCAGAGCCTGCACCCCCTCCTGCACCCAACCCTCTTCCCCAACTTTGAGACCCCT